CCAGTTTTGGTAAATGTTTAAAAGGTATTTAAGAATACATCTTTTGACACTGTCATTGAATTGCCCATGAAGTTTATTTTTTTTCTTAGCCTAATACTTAGAGAAAATTTAATGTGTTTTTCTTAAATGACTTAAACCTTGTGGTATACTTTAAATCATGTATTAAATTTGCTCATTCTTAATTAAATCAATTCTTAATTATGATTTTTATTTTTGGATGCATAGAAGAAATGTTGTAATGCCATTAGTAATCCAATGTATGTGATTTGCCAAATACCAACTTTGCTTTTGTTGTTTATAGGTCAGAAGGTTCATTTTGAACCAGAACCTTAAGCTGGAACGGCCATTTTTTTCATATTTGTGACCTCTGGACCTGAATTTTTAAATACTTGAACTGCACACACAGCCACAGTTAGTGGTGAAGAACTGGGCCTTTTGAAAGACTTGGACTGGAAAAAACTAACTTTGATCCTTATAGCCATTTGTCTGATGTAATAGTCTTAATCTGATGTCCATATATTTCCATATTTCATTGCATTTTTTACAATTCAAATCCAATTTATTGATTTTTACCTTAAGCTCCCACAGTGAACCTGGTTTTCTGTCTCCAGTGGGCTGGGTCACGTGTTTTGGTTCTTCTGCAGCTAATGGTGCTGTGCTGTGGATCTGGAAATATGAAACAACTAACAAAATCACATTTTTCATTGAAGAAAATTTGTTGAAAATGTGAAAAGAAGCCATATACTTAGTTTTGTTCTATATTTCATGCTTTGCTTTTCACCACAGCCTGCTGTTGTGGTTGGACCACTGAAATGTGATACATGGAAAACCACAGGATATGGGCCATCGAATGGAAAAACAAATCCTACCAGCATGAGCGTGTGGTTTTTATCTTTTGCCACATTGTTGTTCTGAATTTCTCCCTCAGTACAGTCATCACTTCATTCTGTGTCAACTATAGAGAAAATCCTGTAATGAGAGCTGCAAATAAATTAAATATCACAAAGAGCTCAATAAGAAAATCGCCTTATAGGGACTAAATGCAAGAGTCACTACAACATGGCTTATGGTCCATGCAATAAGTGAGGGATGATGAATTTGTACAGTTTTATGCTTCTTTCATTTGTTTTCTGATTTTTCCAAAATATGCCTTTACTGAAGAGGTTCTAATAAGCCATAGATGTGAGGAGCACGTTGTTTTTCCATATTTACTCATGCTTTGGTTTCCCTCAGTTTTCCAGGTAAAATTGCACAACATGTAGAGACAGGCCAACATTTGATCCTGCTTGTCTTTGTCACACTTGGTGTTATGAATAGATAAAGTGCTGTTTGAGCACTTAAGTCAATTAGATTGTTTTTTATAAGAGAAGTATATTTTTAAGTAAATTAAAGAAAAAGTGACATTTTAAGGACTACTTACTGAAAATACAAAAAGAGCTTTTAAAAAACTTTATTCATGTACATCTGTGAAACATAACAGAAAATTAAAAATGAAACAGGGAAATATAAAGCAGATAAAATCACATCTGAAGAGAAGTTGATTGAGCGCATGATTAGTAAATCAGAGCACCATGAAAGTCACCCAGGTCTTTATGGTGGGTAGAGCTGCTCGCCTGGCAAAAATTCAACATCCAGAAAACCATCTGCAAGCAGATCCTCAGTCCTGGGAAGAGAAGAACAGCAACTCTTTAAAAAAACATGCACATATGTTTATACAATGATATAAAATAATCTGAAATCTTTACCATAAAACAGAGATAAAAATATTTGTTCTCACATTAATTCAACAGTGTCCTCCACAGCAACTTCCTCCACCACCTCCACTTCCAACACCATGTTTCGTCTCACTGCAAAACAGATATTCACAATTATGTTCAAATTTAGTTTGCTCTATTAATCACCTACCAAATCAACTTCATCATTAGTAATTTGCTTGTGATAAATTATTTAGCTTAGTAGCCTATCTGATTATGATCCAAAACTATGAGAGCTGTTACATGACAGTCCAGTTCTTCTTTGACTTTTCATTATAATTTGCAACTGTTCCCATCAGTTTGGACATGTAAAATTAATCAAATGTTGACAAATATAAAAGTCCTGGAAATAAGTAAACATATAGAATGCTTATTCTACAGAAGTATGTTTTAGTATTAATTTGTATTTCAGAATTTATTTTCATAACAGCAACCCCCTGACCTAACTAGGGACAAGGATGTACAGAAAATGGGTTTTTAAGAAAATTCTTCATTTCGAACTTAAATTGTGAATTGTTTTTAGTTTTATCATTAAGTCTAATGCAAATTAAACTAATATTTTCTTAGTCAACCTGTGACTCCCGAGACACAAGTGACTTTTTAGACCCTCCACAATGACTCTTTATAATTTTAGCTAAAAATTATAAAGAAACAACTGAAGTTTTAAAAAGTACTAGCCATTTTAATTTTTTTTAAAATGGAATACTTACCTTTAATTTCTATAGTAGAATGACACTAAAAGTACCAGTAATTATTATTTAGATCTACTTTCCTTATTAAACTGGAAACTATGTACAAATAGTAAAATGTAGACCTACATGTGTACCTATTATTTTTGAAAACGTTTTGTGTTTGTTTTCATATCAAAACCTAAAAATAGGGGAAAAAATACTATTCTTTAAAAATTATGACAAATTTCTTATAGTAGAAATATATAAGTCATCTTTTTTCAAAAAGTCAGTATTTTTCTTCCTAAACCAGTTTTTTTTTTAGCTGAACTGAGAGCAAAAATTGCTTTGTTTTGTAAAGGTTGCAGACTCCTGTTCTAAGAGAGCAAACAGTTCAAGAGAAGATCTGAAACTGAAAAATTATGAAAAATTCTGCTGTTATTTTTTGTCAAAAACAATATTTGTGAAGTCAGGAGATCTTGACAATTCATGATTACTATTGTAATAGTTGAACATTTTCATAAGCATTAATGAACTCTTCTTGCAAATGGTAGAGATAGGAAAATGAAGTGAAAACATCACCTTTACTAAATAACTCTGATAATATTATTCCTAAAGTGACTGTTTTGACCAGGTTAATATAAAACACCAGGAGCCCACTTACTGACATAATAGTTGGGTGGAAATCCAGACCAGCAGGGGTTCAAACTGTCTTGTTCTCTCTGGCCATAAACTCCAGCACATGGGTTGGTTTCTATCAGTTGTCCTTCAGCACAACAGCAGCCAGCACATCCCTGCAACACTTCCACATGCTCTGCTTCTGTTACTTGATGCTGTGATGAGTGACCAGGTCCAGGCAGGCCTGGAGGTCCACAAGTGAACCACTGAGCATCATCAGATTGATGAGTACCATCATCACAGCCTGTGAGAAAAGGTGAAAAACAGGGTTAATTTAGACACAAACTGCTGAGCATTTAGAAACTTTCCGTCATATGCTTGGTTGAAAAAGGAGGATTACTCCTTCAAACGTATATTTGATCCATCTGTTTCCTGAAAAGACCTGCTGGGCTTGGGCAGCGGTAAAACTAATGCCCTGCAGGTGCATCACGGAGTGCATATGCTCACACAACAGGGAGTGTGTGGGTGATAAAAAAAACCAACACACAAACAAACAAGACTATTTAAGCACAACACAAGCAACAAAAAATATTAAATGGGAAAAATATGAAACACTGAACTGAATTGTTTTGGGTTCCGGTGTGTAGATTTAAATTTTAAAAGGATTGGGAAAAGAAAGATTTAATGAATTATGTCTTTCTAGAGTTAAAAGTTGTGATTGTGATAGCAGAGAATCAGTGATAAGCCCACTAACTGCTATAAAAGATACAAAAAGAGTGAGCATAAAAATAGATGCCAATAATGACAAGTAATATTAGCATCATGACAATTCATTCATGTTTACTCTATTTTTATTATTGTGTATTCTCACAGCAAGATCTGATTTCCACCCTGTTTTTCTCTCTGATAATGAATAACCTTAAATTTACCCATAGTGTGATGGCACGAAGCAGGAAATACTTCTTCATCCTCATCCTCATTGTTATCTTGGTGGTTCAGAACACCTGTGGCAAGTCCGCCTTGGTGAAAAGGACTGACACAAATCTGAGGTCCATGTGACCGAATCCAACATTCAGGAGTCAGTTTGTACATCCCGACACAAATTTAGTCTTCTTCAGATCCTTTCACAACCACATGAGGAAAAGCGAACCTCCTCTTTTCAATCCAAAGGCTTCTGTTGCAAATGAAGAAGAATCTGACCGGGCTGGGTCACTCTGGACTGAAGCGACCACATGCGTTTCATCCTGTAAAAACAAGCTGATTGGTTCTGTTTTCTCAGTCAATGATGTAATGCTTGCAATTAAAGGATCATTCCTGTGTTTTCCAATTTCAGTTTGTTTTTGTGACTTAGATTTGTTGGTCTACAAAAATTCAATGGTACATCTTTAAAACAAAATAACTTTAATGCTGTGAATGCTGTGAATCCATGCAATTATTTTAAAAGAATATACATTTTGTAAGTTTTTTTATTTGCAAATATGTACATTAGTACATATAGTACATTGTACATTTTTATATAAAATTACTAAATGATTTTAACTGATGGTGTGAAGTAAAATCCTTTTGATAAAAACTCTTGATCTGGGTAGTAGTTTCCTTATCTGTATTGTCCTAGGCTATGTGTAAAATCTGTTCAAAGACCAGGGTGGTGACCTGGATCCCGCAGGCGTGTCAAAGTCGATTTTCAATCAACTGAAAAAGTTCCATAGATTTACTTCAGCTGTTGCACAGATGTTATCTTCTTATTTACAGACGCGCATTGTTCTGTTTTTCTCTCTTCTCCCCTTTCTTATAATATGTATGTCATATTTTTTTAATTTACGAGTACATTTTACTGATAGCACTTCCTATGGGTCATATCAGTTTCACTCTCCAGTTTCTGATCTCGTATCTCTACCCTGGGCTCTGATTTGCTAATATTATGTCACGTGGATTCTGTCCTCCAATTAGAAGGTAGATGGGTGGGTCAAATACAGGAAATGCGATATTTAACAACACATCTGAATGTTTGTACGCCTTCTCTCTTCCTCATCTTTTTTCTACGTTGTCCTCCCACAGTTACAGCTCAATTCTTCAAGATAAATTGTATTGTAGCTGCTCGGTTATCTCAGTGTTGTCACTGGTCGCTTTCTGAGCTTGTGCTGTTCGGCAGTCAACTCCCTTCCTGTAAAAGTCCTTAACTAGTTGTTTTTTGCACTCCAATCAAATGGCCTATCCAGGATATGGAGCTCCGGGCGGTGGATTCCCAGGAATGGTGAGAAAAATTTAACCTCTAAGTGATTTAAGGTTAAATATTGATTATTATTGTTCTTCTGTCCCGAATCGGACATCTGACCCAAACAGTGCGGAAGTGATAAATTAGAAACAGCAGGACGTTGCTAGTGTTCAAAGAAATTATTTTATAAATCCCACAAGTTTGCAGGTATTTTTTTATTTAAATAGGTTAATTTAATTTTGTGCATTTACAAATGATTATTTCTTTGTTTCTTAAATTAAGCTGATGTTTCTCCAACTAAAATTAATTAAACATTAATTAGTTTAATTTTTTAACATTAGACTCAAAAAGTTTCTTTTGATTCGTCCTTCTGTTCAATTGTAGTGATGACTCATATTTATCTCCAGATGATTAAATATTTCATAAATTATGAACAAAATAATGAAAACTGACTGAAAAAAATCTAGTTGTCAAGCATATATATGCATATAACAGATTAACCTTTGAACTTTAAGTTCTTGTTGAAAGGTTGATGTGTGTGACTTTATTATACTGACTTTATTGTATCTTTGAGGGTGAGGCTGAGTGGCGTTCCTTCATGATAAGATGTCCTCCACTGAATCACTCAATCAAAATTTTTACTTTAAATAACCAGTCACTGCAGAATTGTTTTTCAATCAAAAAAGAAAATTAAGCAGCTACAATGTTATCTCCATTTCTGCATCAATGCACATCTCCCTGCTCCTGGGCGATCCACTGACTGATATGTAACAAACATAGTAGAGAAAGACCTAACAGCCTATATCAACTGGTCTGGTTGTCAACATAACTATTGTTTCAGTTTATCATAATAAAAGATTCAACCAGTGTGCTTTTTCTAATGGTTTGTAAAGAAACAATGCATTTCTGATTTTGAGTTTTCTTTTATCGTTTTTATTTTTGAGTTTTAAAAAAAGTTTTTCAGAAGATTTTATGACCTTTTCAGTAAAACAAAAATACCCATCCATTTTAAAATTAGGATTGCTTTATAACCATGACATGCAGCTGTTCTCTTCTAGGATTCAGTTAAATGATTTTCAACACTTTGAAGTAACTTCCCCTGCTCTACATTGGCATTTCTCCCCAGAGTTAAGAAACTATTTAGCAACTATAATGTAACAATCACTGATTTAATCTTATGCTTTCCTTTTCTAGCCCCCTCAGCAACAAGATCCTCTGTATGGATACTTCTCCCAGGTGGCTGGACAGGTGAGAGACGATGAGAACTGCAATGTGTTTCTGATGCTTCTGTACTTGTTTCTGCATAATTATTTTAAAGAAGATCCTCTCTGAAACCTGTAAAAGAAATCTGATGTCAATTTTGTTGTATGCCCCTGTCTCTGTGTTGTCTTTACTGTTGATTTTAACAATATTGTGAATATTGTTTGTTGTTTCTTTTAAAGTGTGCTTTACAAGAACCTCGCTGCCAGATTGTTATTGTAAAGAATTAGTTTTTAATAACTCAACTAGTTGAATAAATGTTAAATGAATAAAAACATGCATCTGACTGTGTTGTGTGTTGTTCTTCCATCTTTTTCATGAAACCTCGTCAGGATGGGCAGATCTCAGCGGATGAGCTGCAGCGCTGCCTCACGCAGTCCGGCATGTCTGGATCATACCAACGTAAGAGGAAAACATTTTAGTGGACTTATCCACTTAAATGAGTGAGGATTTGGTTACTTATGGTCTTTTTGGCTCTTTATCCTGACATATTGCAATTTATTTCCATTTTTAATTAAACATAAACTATTCCAGTTTGTGATTAAGCACAATCGGGTTAAAACTAAGGTCGTCACAAGCCATTTCACATAGTTTTATGCCTTGTGACCATAAACGATAGGTAAAGAGGACCTGTGTTTTATTGTTTGCCTCTTTTAAAGCTTCCTGAATATATTTGATTATGTGTGCTTCTCTCTCTGCAGCTTTCAGCCTGGAATCCTGCCGACTGATGATTAACATGCTGGATGTATCCTTCCTTATATGGAAACCACTTCACATTTGAGTAAAAATTTTATTTAAGACCCTATGACTTTAATGCCCAGCCTGTCAGGAAAGGAATGCATTGCGTAGACGGAGTAAAATACAGAAAAAATGGGGTTAGGTTAATATTTTTGGCAACATACAAGGTTCAAATTTGTCAACAGTTGCAAAAAACTGAATATTTTATATACTTTCTATCCAAAACGCATGACTATCACATCTGACTCTTTGTCAAAATGAATGCAAGATCCACTTAAGTTCATGCAAACTACACAGAGTACTTCGTTCAGAGAGATGTGCTTTTCATCAGCCCAGATATTCCTCTCACACACGTTCTCCATCTTTAACCACTTTAGTCTGTTAGTGGTTAGTGGGGACTGGGATTGATGCAGCTTAGACATCTGAGAAAAGCAACTGGTTTATTTTCTTGTAGTAAACAAACACTTCATATCAGATGCTGTTGCGGTTTGGTCCCTTTCTAAGAGTAGTTCTATAACATTTAGAGACAAAATATGTCTCATGCTCTGCTTTTAAAATTCTCTATGTAAGAGAAAAATGTACATCTGAGGAAAAAGAAATGGAATGAAAATACAGTTAATACCTCTGATTTGCTTTAAATCAAATAAAGATGTGTTGATTTTAGTCACACTTAAACCACAAGAGGTTTAAGAAATTCCAGGTAGGTGGGGGCTGAACTAACCACAACACCACCATGCAAACTGCCTCAATAAACAGAGAAACACCAATACTGCAAAAATAATCAGCAGTGAAATGAACAGAATGGCTGGGAAAAAAAACAGTTAAAGTAGACGACTTGCATGATAATATTATGTAAGAATACTTTATATTCTGCTATTGCATTGGATATTAAATAGTTTTTCCTTCTTTTTTAACAAAGATTGGGTTAAGAAAATACTTTAGTTGTCTGTTTACCTCCAGCTTAAGATGATCAACTGTAAAATGATGAATGCTTTGATTTATAGTTAGGATGAAAAATTATGCCAGTTTTCACAATATTTTTCTGAAAAGTGTCACTTTAGCTACAGAAATGAGAGCCTTTTATGTTTTTGTTTTTGGGGAAAATCTTCACAAAAGAAGATTCCCAATCCCTTTTCTGGTTATTGACAACACCACAGTGCATCATATGAACATGTTTAATCTTTAAAATTAGTCTTGAATGACATTAATTTCTTCAGTTGTGTGAGGTCCTTGACTGAAAATGCTCTAACAGAGGGACATGTCTGGAACGATGGGCTTTAATGAGTTCAAGGATCTGTGCCAGGCCCTGAACGGCTGGAAAGCCACCTTTTCATCCTTCGATCGGGACCACAGCGGCACAGTGGAGGGCCATGAGCTGCAGCAGGCCATCACTACCATGGGTATGCACTGATTTTAATGATTTTTATTGTTTTCAACTCTTCAAAACAACTTTGATATGTTTGCTAAAATTAAGACTATGCTGGAATTTCTCTTAATTGACATTGCATCATGACTTTTTCTTCAATGTAGAGTAAAAGTCACTCTGTGTCGCAGGTTGGATGATTGATTTCTTTTACCCTGCGTGTTTCTGCAGGCTACAATCTAAGCCCTCAGGCCATGAACTGCATCATGAAGCGCTACAGCAACCATGGCAGGATTCCTTTTGATGAGTTTGTGAGCTGCTGTGTGAGACTCCGAGCTCTGACTGGTGAGTCGAGCTGGTATGAAAGCAGAAACCCTAACAATACTGTTTCTACTTCTAAAAATATGAAAATACGCAGATCTAAAAACTGGACAGCAGAAAAATGGGTGCATGTTTATCTTTGCTCATTTTAGGACCAGTTTGGTTGAGTATGTGAAATCCTCTCAGAGCTCACATGTCTGAATCTGCATGCATTTTAATACTTTGCTTCAGGAAACAAAGCGAACTAAAGTGAACATTAATGTTCTGTATTGTGGGATTTTAGTTACTATGTTTTTTGTTTTGTGGATCATATATTTACAGAATGATTTATCTTCATCAGTTTACTTTCAACATGAGATAAGCTGATTGCATAATATGCTTTAGGCTGCAAGGTGGTCTAACTGCAGTATCCTTAATATTATTTGTAGGCTTAATAACATAAGATAAGATATTCTTTTATTAATCCCGTAGTGGGGAAATTTACATTGTTACAGAGGACAGAGCACAACCAATATAAAAATCTATATACAAAAAATACAAGTGAATATAGAAATACTGAAACAGTATTGTATGGAATATAAAAATAAGTAAATTCCAGGTGTATATGTTAAGGTAGGCAGAAAATTAAAATAAGTTTGTGGTTTTGTGTTGTATGCTATCCGTTTTTCACAGTTTAAACCACAGATGTGATGGAAATTTTTTGTGGTTTGGAAAATATGACTTGTTAAATATGTGGTGTACCTCAAAACTGAAAATCTGTCAATTGCTTCCCAACATCAGCTTCAGTTTACTGAGACATTTTATCAAATCATCTGATCTAACTTCTTCATTTTATGAAGAAAACCAGTTTCAGTTTTATTTCATTTCACATCCTCTGCTGAAATCTTCCTCTGGATAGAGACCAAGACGATGGCTGGACATCGGCCCTACATATGGACTTGGACTGCATAAAGTATATCTTAAAATCAGCCAACTGTACCTTAAAAATGTTGCCAGGAATAAAAGTCTTCCTTTTGAAACAAGATCCAGAAAAACTGGTTTCTGCTTTTATTTTTAGTAGGGCCTTTTATTATGATGCAGTGGGTCCATATCTCTGTAAAAATCTGCTCATTCAAATTGCTGCTGCCAGAGTCCTGACCAACATCAAGAAAATGGAGCACAGCAGTCCTTAAATCACTACACTGCCTAAATGTTTATTAGGGAGATTTAAACATCTAATAAAAGATAAAATTATATTTTGTCAGCTTTGTTAGCATTTTGTTTAGTGTTTGGTTTATTTTTTATGCAATTAAAATTTATTTTATGTATTTCTTGTCTCAACGTAATACTTCTAATTGCTTTGGTTTAAATTTTTGCACTTTTTGTGTTTTTTTATTTTTATTTTTTTAGATCAATTCCGAAGGAGGGATACGTCCCACAGTGGAAATGCCTCTTTTCAGTACGATGACGTAAGTTTATGCAAAAGTAAATTTCCTGTTTTAGTTTCTGGAAGTTTAACAGATTGGTTAGGGACCAGACTAGAACTGTCAATAAAACTCAAAGTTTACACACTGGGTTCAGATGGTGAGATTCAAAACACATCTGGACCTTTTGCCTGGTCCAGATGTGAAAATACACCAGACTCTCTTGTCCCAGTTTTGACTTCAACAGATTTTCTTTACAAATTTCAAATTAAAGATCTGTGGCTTCTATTTGGATGTAAACCTCAGATTTGTGCAGCTGGTTTATTAACGAAACAATTAAAAATGTCCTTTACAATCTTCCTTTCCTTTTATTTAAAATAATCTGATAAATATTTAGCTTTCTTTTGCTTAGCAGGTCAGGTAGTTACAGAATATTGTCAAAACATGATTTTTAAAATTAGAATAAGTAGAAATAATTTACTGTTGGATGATGAAAAGTGGCATATTAACTCTGGTCATGTCTCTCTCTCTGTAGTTTATCCAGGTCACCATGAGCGTCTGAAAAAGACACATTTTTCCTGTGAGGACCTGCTGACCTTCTAACATTTTTATATCATTTACTTTTTCTTGAATTGTTTTTTGTAAAAAAAAAACAAAAAAAACAGGGTCCAAATATCACTGTTTATTCCAACTGGACAATTTTAAAGCCATTTTTAGCCTAATGAGAAATGTACTAAGATCCATAGCATGGAAGTACTTGCAGTCTTAACACAGTAATCGCTCTCGCTGTTTGCTTTCTACCACATCATGTTATCCCTTGCTTACCATTATGAAATTAATAAAACATTATGAAGTCTGATTGTTTCTTCATTTTTTTTATTGTGGAATCAATGTGATTGTCTTCTACAGCTTGTTGAGTCTGAACATTTGCAGTGTGATGCAGGTGGATTGATGCAGAAAAAGACGTGATGTGATGAAATCAAGTTTTTGTTGAACTCGATCTAATATTGAGCGACGGCATCATAATAAAAGGCCCTACAGTAACTGAAGCTTTTCAGTTACTACATTTATATGAATGGTGTCAGCTTTCATTTAGTTAAACATTGGTTGTAAAGCTCATTTTAAAGGTGCTCCAGTTTGTAGATGTCAAACTATTTCACCTGAATTCAAACCTTTTGGTAAAGAATAATCACTTTCAAAATGACCTCCCCTTTATTATAAATATAATTACTAATAGAAATAATTATACACTGGGTTATGGTATAAATGAATGGATTATCTCTACTTTGTGTTATCGTATTTTTTTGTGATGAAGAGCTTAAGTCATAAGTGCTTTTAGTGATATTGGTGTCTGGAGAGCTGATGTATGATGTTTTATGAATGAATTCAACTGAACCAAAGTTTACAGGGCATGTTAGTATGAATGTTAGGAAGAAATGGACATCAGATTACATAAAGCAACAGACATGCACCGACTGGCTTCTGTATTATAAACACCTGACAAATACTTAACTCAAACAGCAAGTCAACCAAACGTAGCAACAGCTTAATAATTCAATAATGCAGGTGTAGTGCTGGCCTTGACCACAATTCAAGAACAGCCTAAATTTGGTTAATTTGGGTGATTGACGCCGATGAAAATGTCAGAGTACAACTTTAACTTTTAACTTTCTTTTAAAGATCATGCAGAGAAATTAAAATCTCCTTAAAGTGGATATTGCTTTCAGAAATGTTTTGCTGAAAGCAATGAAAAAAGCAATGTTTTTTGCTTTTAATCTCATTGTAGTCACTTTATCTGAAACAGCTTTGGGCACGACAATTTAAGTTGGCTAAATAAAGCTTATGTGAGCAATATTCTGTTTTTGTTTCTGAAATACATACTAAAATACAACAACAGCTGTTACTTTCCAAATTACCAAAATGCTGATATTAAATATGGCTGCCTCTAATTATTGCAATAGTGAGCCTTCCTAAGGCGTGTTCTGGAATTGTTTTTTTATTGTATTGCTGATACAATTTGCCGTACATATTTCAAACATGTTTGAAATCATGTTTTATACATGATTGTTTAGGAGATTGTTTTAGTTCAATTTAAATATACTATTTAAATTATCATCTAGTTTTTTTTCTCTTTTCTTTTTAAAATGTAGCGAATTTTTCAGGTGCCCTATTTGGCAGTATCTCACAGACTGTATTATTATTAAGTGCTATAAAAGACTAAGTCTAACAAAATGTCACAGAACAGTAAAGACACGTGGTTGGGCTGTAACTTGATGTAAGGAACAGTTTTTTTTCTTGCACTGTTTTCTCTTTCCACTAGAGGGCAGGATGTGTCTCGGTAAGGAATATTTTTCTCAGTGGAACCATTTAGTCAAAAAGGCTCAGATTCAAGCTGAATCTGCTGCATTTTTAAGTTTTTCCAAATAAGTCAATCAATCAATCAAATTTTATTTGTATAGCACATTTCAGCAGCAAGGCATTTCAATGTGCTTTACATAATTAAAATAAAAACAGCATGTGAGAAAGAGAAAGAGATTTAAAAAAACACAATTAAAACGTAAACAGTGAGAAAGAGAAATAAAAAGCTGTAGAACTTTAGTTGAGACGCTGTCTACTGGGACTCCAACACTTTGGACTTTAGTCAAAACGCCGTTTGACAAGGACTCTAACCTCTCTGACTTTTTTTTTTAAAGATAAAAACATTAAAATCACCGAAACAGTGAGAAAGAGAAAGACATTTTGAAAAAGATTAAAAAAGATAAAAAGATAAAAACCCACACCCCTTTGAGGACTTCAGTTAAATGTTGTTTAACTGGGACTCAAACCTTCTGGGACTTTAGTCAAAAACACCATTTGACAAGGACTCCAACCTCTAGGTTTTTAGTTGAAACGCCGTCAACTGGGACTCTAAACCCCTTAGGACTTTAGTTGAACGTCTTTTAACTGGGACATTTTCCAGGGGGCTTTACATCATTAAAACATAAACAGTGAGAAAGAGAAATAAAAAGAAATTAATAAATAGATAAAAACTAAAGATAAAAACATTAAAAACATCAAAAACATCAAAACCCACACTCTAACCCTAATTTAGCCATAAGCAACTCTAAACAGGTGGGGTTTAAGTTGAGATTTAAAGGCACCCAGTGTTTCAGCTGTTTTACAGTTTTCTGGAAGTTTGTTCCAAATCTGTGGTGCATAGAAACTGAATGCTGCTTCTCCTCATTTGGTTCTGGGGATGCAGACCAGAACCAGAAGATCTGAGGGGTCTAGATGGTTGGTACAGCAGTAATAGATCTTTAATGTATTGTGGTGCTAAACTGTTCAGTGATTTATAAACTAACAACAGTATTTTAAAGTCTATTCTTTGAGCTACAGGGAGCCAGTGTAAGGACTTTAACACTGGTGTTATGTGCTCTATCTTCCTGGTTTTAGTGAGAACGTGAGCAGCAGCTTCTGGATCAGCTGCAGCTGTTTGACTGATTTATTAGTCAGACCTGTGAAGACGCTGCTGCAGTAATCAATGAGGCTAAAGATAAACGCATGGATGAGTTTCTCTAGATCGTGCTGAGACATTAGTCCTCTAATCCTGGAGATGTTCTTCAGATGGTAGAAGGCCTACTTTGTGACTGTCTTAATGTGGCTCTGAAGGTTCAGGTCAGAGGTCATCACTACTCCCAGGTTTCGGGCTGATCGCTGGTTTTCAGTTGTAATAACTGAAGCTGTGCATTTATTCTATTTTGCTCCTCTTAAGGTCCAAAGATAATAACTTCAGTTTTGTTTCTGTTCGGCTGGAGAAAGTTTTGGCACATCCACACATTTATCTGTTCTAAGCATCTATTCAGTGATTGGATGGTTTCAGAGTGACCTGGTGACATCGTGATGTAGAGCTGTGTATCATCCGCGTAATTATGGTAGCTAATCTTATTTCCTGTTATAACCTGAGCCAGTGGGAGCATGTAAATATTGAAAAGAAGGGGTCCTATTGAACCTTGGGGTACCCCATATGTGACAGCATCAATGTGTGAATTACTGTCTAAAAAATATTATTGAACTTTATTTTTATTTGATTAACTTTTTAATTTGGTATTCCTCCTTTGTTATTTTTTTGCCTCAGTGGGAGAAATAAACAAGAAAAAAATTCAACCCTTTTTATCAAAGTAGTTATATTCAGAATTTCACTGCAAAGTTAATCAAAAAGAGGATATGATTATCTTTACTGCAACTATAAAAAATAGGACTTATTTCTTTTGCTTGTTTTTGTCCTGTTTGGTTGTACTGCCTGTTTAACAAGGGCAAGGTGTTCTCAGAAATACTCAGCATTCATTTGAGGCTGAAGGCAGGAAAAAAAAACTCTCACAGAGCTATTTTGACAGAGAGAAACAGTCTCTTCTTTGTTTTCATGGAATTCCAATGAAGACCTACGTGCTGAAAAAGTCCCTGGGTGTTGGTTCCCAGCCAAATTTAATTTGACTTGACAGACGTTTGCACCTGAGGAATGATTCGTGATCAAATGAAGAATGATTCACGAACAGTGCTTCACTTGATTTCTTATTCCATTGCTCCAATGAAGATCTGAAAAACAAAATCTAGATTCAAAGAAACTGAAGCAAAGCTTGAAAAAGCCAGAGGAGCTGTGAACACTGAGATATCAATGTTTAGAAGGTAATAAATTGAGTTGAATTTGTTGTTTTTAAATGTAGATGTTTGAATTGTTGGGGTCACGATGGGTTACTGTGGTTTACTTTGTCATTTCAAAGATAAAAAAATAAAGTAATTTTTGGATAAGATAATCAGCAATTTAGTAAAAAACAAACAAACAAACAAACAAAAAAACAGTCTCCTGAAATGTTTCTTTTAATATCCCTCCTTACCAGGCACGTGCAGTGCTTGAGCATCTGACCCTGTTGCTCCTTGCCCCCAGGTACCCTTTAGGTCAATTTTTTTTTTGTATTATTGTTTTCTAAGCCCTCTTCTGACACATGTACTAAAATTGTT